CTTTATCATTTTGTGTTTGACCTTCACATATAGTGGCAATCGGTATTTTAATCCTAGAGATACACTGCGCCCGAACATGCAACATTTTGATACGTACGAATATTGCAATTTTTTGTGAATGTAAGTATTCTTTTTCTGTATTTTTTACGTATTTTGAATATATATCTCAATACTTTTCATTAATTGTAATTTTTTGAAAGTATCTACGAGATTCGCTGCGCCCGAATGTGTTACGAACTTGAGTCCATACATTTTATAGGCTAGTAAATATGGTGAATGGTGGTAAAAAAAATGTATAATTTAGAAAAACCAGCTTATGCAGAAGAGATTCTAAGAATGCTGAATGATGATGCTGATGAAAATAATCTTCTTGACGATTTAGGCGATGAAAGTGGAAGTGACGAAGACCATCTAGAGAGTCGCGAAGTCGATTCTGAGACAGAACAGAGGACGAACAGGATGAAAGTGAGGAACAAATAAATTTGAACAATAATGCTGAATATTTTATGAGTAGACATAATCTACAAAGTGGTGTAGCAAACCTCCCTCTAATAGGATTCGAACAAAATCCCAGAACTTAAGACATTTACCAGGTGTCATAGAAAACGCAAAAAATGCTGCAACGCCTATAGAATGTTGGGGTCATGGGAATGGTAAGAAAGATCTCCGAAGAAGATATTTTTTGAGACATTATCGCATGAACTTGTTCTTGGACAGCTAACAAGAAGAAGTGAAATCACGAGTGGGATTCCGTTCACTTTGCAGGCAGGACTCAAAAGATTCAGACCAAATTCACAGGAAAATGGCTCACAATAACAAGAAGAGCCACAAAAAAACGGCGATGTGAACCATGTACATTAGAAGCTAATATTAGACGGTTTTCGAGATTTTGTTGTGCTAAATGTCGAAAAGCACTGTATTTACAACATGCGATTTTCTATGCAGTGCTTGTTCAAATGCTTCAATAAATGATAATATTTAACTATACACAATAAACTATCATTATATTATTACTTATTTTTTATAAAGTGACAAATGAAAAAAAGTTAGAGACTGGTATTTCAATAAAGAAAGTGAGTGTAAATAATTTGTGCATATATACACAGGGTTATATTTTCTATATTTTATAATAAAATATTATTGAATTTTATATTTATTCAAAATATTATTGTATATCTAAACATTTTTATTATATTTAAAATTCAAAAGTGTATACATTATAATATTATTAAAAAAATAGACATTTTATTGATTAATAAAATACCAACTGATACAATAAACAATATATTAAAAATCATAATGAGCTCTCCTAATATCTAAAAACCGCGTGCGAGGTGCGTAGGGACTGCGCCCGACGGAGGGTTAAATAAATGTCAAAAATAAAAAAAAGAGAGATATCTCATAGGAGATAATCTCTTAAATGCATTAACACCAACATCATATTATACTTGTTTATCTATGATAATATTGTCTTAAAAAATGTATATTATTTTGATTGACAATAACGCAAAAAAAATAAGAGAAATTAATTAATTGCTTATTTTTTATAAAATTTTTAAATGTATAAGTCTTCAAATGTATAGTTTATTATATAAATAATGCATTACTTACGTTATACAAAGATGGAGCAACTATAACATATTTTTGACGTGTCTTCAAATGTCAACAACCTATACAAATATATAGTGCAGTCAACAAGTGACTTCAAAGACTTTTTCGTAATAAATTCATAATAAGAATATATTATTTATTTATTTTATTTTTATTTATTAAGTTATATTTATTATAACTTATAATAGTTCAAAATCATATTTGAAATATTATAGTTATCCTGTCGAAATGGTTTTATAAAGGTTAGTAAGGTTAATTGCAATAACAACGCACTCCAAATTGAAGTATTGAAATTATGGAGAAAGAAGCACAAATTAATTCAAATTTATACTATTGTGTAAACTTAGTTGATAATACAGAAGTGAACATTAAAGAAGAAGTCGATACTGATGAAAACACAGAAGATGCTGATGAAAGTTTATTGTATGAAAATACAGCTACCTCAAGTGAAAAATCAGAATATAAGTGTAACACTTGCAATAAGAGCTTTATACATTCTAGTTCTCTAAAAAGACATCAGTCTCAATTTCATAATACTATTCAGCTTTGGCAATGCGAAGTTTGCAAAAAATACTTTGCTACAGAAATAAATTTAAAGAAACATCAACTTACTCACACCCCAGATAGTATTAAAAATAACAGTGATATTGTAGAAACGGCTGAGAGGCCTTACGAATGTGAATATTGTCATAGAAGTTTTGTTCGATTAACACATTTGCAGAGACATGTTAAAATACATTCATCCAATGTACCATTGTTCAAGTGTCAGATTTGTGATAAAACTTATACACAAGAAGTCAGTCTTAAGCAGCATGCAGCAAAACATGCTGCTTATTATGAGTACAACTGCCATATATGCCATAAACAATTTATAAGGCTTTTAGATCACGTGGAACATATGAAGGAACATGAAGCGCAAAATAGGTAACTATTTTGAAATTCTATTATATCAAGCAAATATTTTAATGGTAAATCGAGATTAACAGTTGCCACTCCTTCATTGTTCTTTTAATTACAAATTAGAAATATTTTAGTTAAACTTTAGTATTACAAACCAATGCAAACATTATTTAAAAGTCGAAGTTTTTGATAAATCATATGATATATAAATTTTAATTTTTAATAAAGTATTATGTATTTGCATTACTTATTATGTAATATCATTACGTAATTCATTATGTAATATCTGAATAGAATATTAAATTTGTTAATGAGATTTTTATGTGATTTAGAAATGCTGCAGATCTTGAATGGACCAATGATCAAATCTGTGTATTAATAAATTTGTTCAAGGATAAAAGAGAATTGTGGGATCCTTCTGATTGGAATTATGTAAATAAGCAAATAAAACCGCAAGCATGGCAAGACATTGCTAATGCATTGAATATGACCAAGCATGAAGTAGAAACTAAAATTTGGAGCTTGATAAGCAGATATCAAATGGAAGAAAGAATGAGACGAATTAATGGAAATGAGTCACAATGGTTTGCTTTTAAACTATTTGCATTTTTAGAGACTAGAAATAGGCCCAGAATCAATCTACAAAATAGATCATTGGAGGTAATATTATCTTATTTTTTATATATGGGGTGATTACAGATCACCCTGTAAAAAAATATCATTTTTCAATTGTATTTATATTTATATGTTTTCAGTCAAATGAATCAACTGATGAATCATACAAAGATGATGAATTCAACAATAAACGAAACACAGTCACTCCTAGCAAATTAGAGTTAACAAAAAAATCAAATTTAAATATTAATTCCAAGAATTACAAATATGTGTCGTCAGAAACATTAAACGAGCGATTAAACAATAATGAAAGCATATTTTATCCAAGTGCAGAAAAAAGGAATAATTGTTACAATATAGCAGAAAATTCTCAAAAAGAATTGCAAGTTGCTACTACAAGTAATGATATGAATGGAAAGAAAATTGAAGAAATGTTAAGCAAAGAAGTGCAAGTTTGTGAGCCAGTTAATAATAAAAATTATTTAGATAAATTAACAAAATCTGATGATTTAAATTCATGCAACCTCTTAAGAAAACTTTATAACAAAATGTCTAGAGACGAATATGATATTTTTGGAGAAAGTATAGCATGTGGTATACGCAATCTAAAAACCTCATATGCAAAAAGCACAGTGAAATATCATATCAATAACATTTTATATCAAGCAGAACTAGGGCATTATGATCATCCACCATGTATTGGAAGAAATTCAAAACAAAATTCTGTGAACAAGGCTTCGGAATCAATTGTTTCCCAAGAAGTTTCCACAGTAGATGATTTAGACAATATGTTGAATGAATTGTGATCTGAACTAAATTAAAAAAGAAACAAATATCAAAGTAAACGTATACATCTATTTCTGCTTATTGATTTGTAGTAGTTGCCTTTATGGAATATTCGACGCTTACTATGGCTGCTGTGCAGTCAATATTACCATATAGCCAAAATTAATAAAGAGATCTCTCACTTATTAGGTTCTACAATAGATACAGTTATATTTACTTAACAACAATAATAATGGCATATGACAAGTAAGATAACTAATTGTAAGTTTAAGACTAAACAATTAATATATTCAGATTAAATTATTATATTTATATAAATTTATGTAATATTTAATATATATCTATGTATATATCTCTGATGTATATAGACTAGACTAGTAAAAGAAATAACTTGATTATTTATCTCAATTTTAGCATGTGCAAAATTCATTACCATAATTCATTGGTGGTGAATGTGTAGTAAATAAGATGTTATTTAATCAAGTAACAAAAATATATAATTTCATAAACATATTGATTCTACAAGATGATTATTCGCATATTTGAGATTTAATTCAAATTGTGAAAACGGCTCCAATAAACATTTGATGCTTTGTATCTACAAATTATTAAATGAATTTTTAGCTCAGTTTGGTACTTCGAATTTCACATATATTAATATTGCACACTGTAACATTCGCATCTTTGTTATACATGTTATAAAATATATATCAATACTTTATAAAATATAAATTTTCATTCGATGCTAAGAAAAACAATCTAATCATAACACCTTTTATGTAACATCTAAAATCAGATGTGATGTGTGTATTTACTTTTACTTCACAGAAAAGCTATAATTTTAAAGTATTTACCTACTATATGCATAATACACACCGACTTTGAATATAAAATATAATTAAAGCTCACAACCATATAATATTTATATTAAAATTAATAATAAAAAAGTATTATAAAATTGAACACTTATTCAGCATCCCTGAGTAACAGGATACCTACTTTACACTTCTTATTCCATGACTATGCACAAATATTATAATTATTAATTACAATTTTATAAAAAAAAAATATTGAAAATTAAAAACAAACTATAGATTGTAATCTAAATAGATTTTAAAACAGAATTTTCCAGTCATTTATATAAACTCTGACAATTTTTAATTGCATTAATAATAAGAATTTATATCATGCACATACTTATCTGGCAAAATTAAATTTATAAAACAAACGTGAGATTATAAAAATTCAAATCAAATGGATTCATCATAATTTATTGGTTACCTACAAATAACTAAAGTTTCTTGATCAGCTTCCAATTCTGCTTCAAGTTGACTATTATTTATGCAAGAACGACAGCAAATTTCTTCCATTGTGTAATGACCCGTATAAGTTGGCTTACCTTTAGACTGAATCGTAATGGGATACTGAAATATTGATAATAATGAATCAGTTATTTCTAGGTATAAAATGTTAGGAAAACAAATATAAGTGGCAATTTTTCATAATAAGTTCAGAGTAAAAATTGAATATTAGGATAAGCATAAAGCTATTAAATAATATCAGATACTTATTAGTTAAAATCTTTGTATCAAAAATATATATATTCTTTTAGTTCACTTTGAATTTCTATAAATTTTCATATGCATATTTAAATTTGGTCATTTATATAACCATGATTATAGATGCATGCAGCCGATTGACTTTCTCTGATATAAGCGATCTTATGGAATTGAAATTCAAGGGTATTTTTAACATCTTTAAATAAAATTATTTATTTATAATATTAAAGACCTAAAGACAATATTTAGCTACCCTAAATGTTTCAAATAAACCAGAAAATTGTAGAAAATTTAAAATCTCTCAAAAAGTGTACCTTGTCGATTTTTCGTATTAAACCTTGCACTACCCCGAATCTGACTAGACTTCTTTCACATATTCTCATGGCATTAGGACTCATTCGAGAGAAAAGATCTCTTAAGGAAACTCCATGACCCATAGCTGCATAAGTTCTATATAGATCTGAAACAGTCGCTGGCTGCCGAGCTAAATAAAATGAGATTATTTTAATCTAAAATTATATTTTAATGCTTTTTCCAATCAATAATTAATAGATTGTGTCGTTTTTTATTTTTCTTTAAAATGATCTAAAAGTTCAATATTAAATATGTAATATCTCCTATTAATAATTAATATATCGATAACTTTTTTAGTATTAATTTTTTGTTTGTTTTATAATAATATATTTTATACACAACTTCTAAATGCAAAATTTGATCTTACCAGATTTTGAACAAAACTCTATGCATTTGATTTGGAGTTCTCTATCAGAAGCTAATTTTTGTAATTTTCGAGTTGGTGTGTATACACTGCAATATTGGAATAGAGGTATAATCATCACTACTTTGTAGCATACCTATTAAGCAATCAAACATATTTATTACTAGAACAGTAGGATGTAATATCTAATATATTACATTGAGTTAAGCTCACCAAGTTTTGTATACAATCTTTGACTAGATCCGGATGAACTTCTGCTTTGCAAGCAATCTTTAATACATGTGTATAACCATCTATATGAGGTAAAATTTGGTGAGTTGTGAGATCCCATTGTTCTTGGTTGAAAGCTTCTTCTAAACCTGTCAGAACTGGTACATGATGATCCAATACTGGTGCAGGATCCCGCATTTCATCAACCACAGTCAAATGGAGAGATATAGGACCATCTATAAATTATAATTGAATAAAGTTAAACAAATTGTCCCGCTGAACTTATGTTGTGGTCAAGTAGAAATAAGATAGTGCATTGTGATATAATTGATAATAATTATGATATATTTGTTTCGAATTTTTCCTCCTACCTGTTATAATGCACATGTTTTCAGCATTAATATCTCTTTTCACTTGATCCATAATAGATACAAGCCTCTCATAGTTCGTTTGAACGTGTACACTTTGAATAGTTAGATCTGATTTGAACCTAACACACGGTGATTTAAATTGGACCGATTTATCATCGCCTTCTCGGGATGAGGGCTGAGATAAGAAACCAAAATCGACTTCACGGGCTAACTGAAAATATAATTCATAAATAAAATATAATTATGACAATGATTTCATTAAAAAATATATGAATTTTATATAATAAAGATAATAATCAGGTGCAATAAATAACCGCAATTAAGCAGTTAAGCAAGCCTTAATCTTATTCATAATAGAAATGAATAGAAATGAATAATGAGTACAAAAATTGTGTTTTTAATTTTTTTAATTAAAAAAATATTAATTTAGAAATTGGATGAAAGTAAATAAACGAGATGAGGAAACGAAATTATTCACTAAATGTAGTGATTACACAAATAATTTTTAATTATTTTGCGATCGGTCAAGGAAGTAGACCATAAACCAGTGGTTTACAACGTTTTCTGCCCCGCGCTCCCCTGCTCTAACAACAAAAATGTAGCGCCCCCCTTAATTTTTTCAACAATTTAATTTTATAAATACTCAACTGATATCATCAGACTACAAATTAATAATATTATGTAAAACATGAATAAAATCTAATTATTTTTTGTTATTACATTATTCTAAATTCGTATTGATAATTATTTTAACTTTTTCAAAAGATTAGAAACTGTAGTAGAAAGAAAGAGCCAATCGTGAATAGCATAGGGCTAAAAATTACCACGTTAAAGGGCGAGATACTTTATTGCATGAATTTTCTATTAGTATAACATCATTTAAATAGTTACTCGTTTTATGATCATATGGGAAAATATGGGCAAAGTAATAAATTGATTTAAAAACACTACCCACAATTGAAAACTCCGGAAAATAATATACTTTCATTCACAAGAAATGCATATAAACCCTTATATGCAGCCTTATTCCTCAAAGGGTTAAAATCAGATCAGATATTTTTGTATAAAAAGAAAATGCAAGTAGGCCACACGGTTACTGCATGCAATTTTTTTATTACAGTCTTAAATATAAGTAATAATACTTTACGTTTGTCTAATTGTTTTGTTATATTTATTTAGTTTATGTGTTTCCATGCTAAGTATACTAACCAAATACTCCGATAATTTCTTAAGAAGAGGTTCATAACGAACGGTGTGTGCATCTTCTATAAAAACCAGGCATATATTAAATAAAAATGCATTCCTCATGTATTTCTTGTTTTCTATGCGCATAGGATAGCCCAGTATTTTATATCCGTCCAACGTTCTGAAAGTAAAAATTTAAAAAAATGAGTAAAACTGGTTTACCATTTCTCATGTATGACTACAATTAGTTGATACATCTATCATACTACCCAATACTAACGTTTTTGACCGGTCATTAAGTACATAAATGATTTATTACATTTTTTATGTAATGTACAATTCAACGGAAAGATTTCCCATTTTATTTGATTTTAATAATGGAGGCATTACTTTTAAAGGTAAAAGATACACACTTTTGGCGTAAATCAATATTAGATAATAATAGCTTTGCTTTTCAAACAATTAACGAATTTTAATAACAAATATTTATTACAATTAGTAAAAACAAAAAAAAATCATGCAACCATCATGTACAACTCTACACCAGGTAAATGCCGATGCACTCTTAGGATCAGATTTCCATTCATAATACAAGTATTATCTTAGATTAAATAACTTGTACTAAAATTTAAAAAATATTAGATTTTAGTAAATATTTTGTTTTAATAAATAGTTTTAAAATGAAAAAAAAAAGATTTTAGTAAACTGTAAAATTCCATCGTGTAGGTCGTCTTTCTTCAAACGCGTTTTACTGCACTCATAGATAATGAGCTTTCATTAGCTTACACTAATTAAAACGCTAGGTAATTATATACTGTATCATTAACACCGCGTTAATCTAAGATCCACTTCATATAATTGAGCAAAAATCAATTAAAGCAATAAATGAAGATAGTTATTAATCGTGTTAATTGTTACTTACAATTATTATATAATTATGCATGAAAAGCATTAAGAACTATTTCCAAAAAAAAGATTGACCTAATGAGTCTTAATGTCGTATATAGATTATATATCTATTCAGCCGAAAAATGGATAAAAATATATTCAAATTTAATATTACTTTAATACATAAAGGTTATTTTATTTCGTTGTTTTCCCCTAAGAATAAAATTATTACAGCAATATATCTTTTTGTTATTATATTAGCAGCAATCAAAACTTAACGAGTCCTATGAGCTATTGTGATTACTTCTTAATGACATGGCTTTACAGATGGCAGACCAATGGTTGCTCTAATTCTATTTTATAAATGTATTATTAGAAATTTTAATAGTGATGACTTATTTTATTGAGTTTAGCAATGTCGAGGAAAGACCATTTTCACTGTGAAACAAATTGCGATCTATATATATTCTAAACTTATGTCTGCTTGGCATCAAGCTGGCCTAAGTATCGAACCTAGAACTTCCATATAGAACAATAACTTGAAATTTTGATATTGAAATACGTTACAATAAATTTTTAACGTATACAAGTAGAAAACAAAAACTTCAAATGAATTAGAAAGATTGAAATTCATTCAGTGAAAGGAATGTAGCAAGTTCTGGATAAATTTTCTAAAATTATTGACTTTTAATGATGTCGGTTAAAACAATTAACCCGTATAATGCAGATTCCATATGGATAAATGGTAAACAATTGTTTTTAGACACATATACGTATATATACACATTTATAAGAAGTATTGCTTGAATCAGAATTCCAAAACTAAATAACACAAAAATAAACGAAAATAATGAACGACGAAAACAATTTTTTAGTTTCTCATCAAATACTCAATAAACATGGTTTATATCAAAACAATTAACACGTTTTTGAGAATGTTTCTTGAATTTTTAATTCGCTTTCACACATATGGTTTCAAAAGCTAAATGATCATTTAAAAATCAAAAAAGAACATGAATTTATAATTAGATATGTAAATAAGAAAGTGTATATACTCCTCAATATTTATTATAAAAGTTGTAAATCATATATATATATATATATATATATATATAATATGTAAAGATGTAAATTATATATATATATATATATATATATATATATATATATATATTTATAATTGTGTATGTATAAACTATAAAAGCATTGTGTTCACGAAGAAAACAAAAGTTAAATGATAAGCGGACATTCACTTTGCATTACATTGTTAAATAGATAAGTATTATAATCACACCAAATATTTTAATCCCTATCCAAACAAGAAATGTACTTTGAAATAATATTTTTATATTCCAGATACTATATAACACATCAAAGACGAATTATTTTTATTTTAGGAATTTTTTTTATTTGTTTTTGTGCATAATTATATTAAATTTGTGTAGTTTTGTCAAATGTATTATTTTTAGCCTAAAAATTGATGAAATTTTATAAAATATACCAAAAATTGTCACCCTCTTTAATTGAAATATCAAAATACGCCTAATCGCCTTCAGAAATTAGTACCAATCATTATAGTTATAATAATACAAATATAATTAATTAATAATATAATTAAAAATTAATTATAATAGTATAATTAAAATGTACGTCTTGTAAAATACTTTGATTTCCCATTTAATTTATAAGCAAAATGATAATATTTATTATACAAATGTACGCAAAAGAAGGTAGGTATTTTTAGGAACGTTTTACTATATATAAGTTTGTCAAATATCTCCCTTCCGCCTTTTTTTATTATAAACCAAGAGCAAAAAAGCGGAAGGGAGATATTTGACAACCTAATATAAGTAATTTCTGAAATCAAAAATCTAGGCATATTTGAACAAATTCCGGAAATCAATTAAGCAAGTTACATTTTTTTTCCAAAAATCAAAGATAATCGATATTTAATAATGTTGTTATTACTTTTTATTTTTTAATTTATATATAATTATATAAATTATACCTTTTATAATAAATTGAGGAGTATATTTATATTAAGTATTCTTATTAAGAAAAAACTGATAAGCATTTAGTGAAATTCATGACTCATTACTAGAATGTACCAGTAATTCACGACTTGTTCCTAATAAAGATTGAATTGTATTTAAATATAAAAACAAATATTGCTATTTTAATGGCATACGTCTGGTGCTACTATTTTAAGACCACTTCGATTGTATTGTGAAATAATTGTGAATTGTATTATAATTATTGATTTAATCAATATCATGAATAATTTCTACCGATTTTTAATGTATAATCGGCACAACAGCTTATAGGATTCTGTTGTTCGAAATAATGATAATAAAAAAAATAGATAGCTTCTAGTCCAAAAATTAATAATATCTTATATGGACAATCTATTAAAGAACAAGCATGTAATAACATATATTATTCAGCAGTGTAATAATCATGAATATTACACTGCTGAATAATATATTTGTTATTATATGCCTGTCCTTTAATAGAATGCCCATATAAGAATTACGAAATAATCCAAATAGCGTTAAATAATTAATTAAAATTCTTATCAGCGTATTAATATTAATCAATATACGTTATATAAACTAATTACAAAACTATCTCAAAACAACATGATTCCATTCACTCTCGAATATTGTTTACCAACTGACGCCAGAACTGCGCATATAGCAAACTAATTTGCGTAATAAATTAAGATAATAATTTCAAAATAGCATTACTTACACAGTCAATGAGCATTTCTGCAATTGGGCCTTTGGTATCATATAAACACTCACAGAGTCGAAGACTTCTTTTGTTACGTAATTCTCTGGAATCTGGCATGTTATTTTGGGCCCGGCTGTCGGATGAAATTCACACATGAAAATGCTTCTGATGGGTCCTTCAATTTCATCGCTCGGTAGCTCGCTCACATTTTCAGAAGACATAGTAAAACACCTCTCATCACAACACTTCACACACTAATTAGGAAATAATAAAAAAAATCTTAACACTTTAAATACACACTTATTTACATAAAATCACAACTTTTTAATCTAGTATCATAAACATAAAATATTTTATTGTTAGTTTATTCCGTAATTGTTGGATTCCACAAAGTCAGATGACCATGTTCTGTCTAAGCTTGGTCAACTACTGGAGTTGTTGAAGTTGACTAAATAGCAAATGATTTACACCTTAGCCGATTCTGCTAATTTTGTAGCAAACGAAACAGATCTTGCATAAATCAAAAACGACTTGTTGCAAATTTGTGAATTAATTAGAGTTTTTAGTACAATCGATTCTTATCAATAAAAATCACTTGTGTTGAAATTGTAAGAACACCAACTAAAATTTATAACTACTGTTTATATGAAAAAGGATTAAAATCATTTAATTGTGATCAAAAGTTGAAATCAATAATATAATGCATCAGAATTAACCCTTTCCACTCGGATGCCGCGGCAAAATTCATATAAATCTCGGAATCAGCGTGGAAAGGGTTAAAAAAAGTAATAAAATATAAATTGTATGAATAACAAGAAAAAATGTTTTGATTAGTTAATAATATATTAATTTTTGTTACCAACTTTGTCGGTTTGTGCTATATACCCAAAATAGATTTTAGAATCGTTAAAAATTTAAGCGGCAACGTGAATAAACTGTTAAAATTTTAAAACTATAATTCAAGTAAATTTATCATTATTTTTTTATTTCCTTTCAAATATAATTAGTTTATTATAACTTTCTTATTTCTTTTCAATAATAATTAAAAAGAGTTTATAATTACTTTTTTAATTCCTATGGATAATAAATATAATCTAACTTATTGTGATCAACGTTTGAAATCAAATATGTATTACTTTTCCACAACTTGCAAAATGTATTCATAATTTTATTGTAGTCATTCATGTAGTTTGAAATAAGACTTTCAAAGTAAAACTTCTATAGGCGCGACTAGGGTGTAAATTCGTACAAATGCAACGGAAGTGCGTTACGGCGAATAAGAGTCGATAAGATAAGAATCGAGTGTCAATGATTCGTCATTCGCGATGATATCATTTCTATATGGGTCGACTGTGATTAGTGATCGTGTATGTGAATACAGATCTGTCGTTGTTTGTGTAATGTCATCAGCGTTGTATGCGTACCGATACCAACAAGGAAATCGGCATAGATAAATAAACATTTCAAAGTTACATCGTAGTACTAATCTTGATTTAATGAAAAATGCCTGAATCAGAAGAATATTTTACTCTGTTTCTTGAAGGTTCATTTCTAAATGCTAATTATGACAAACCGATCATGTCATATTTGAAGTATGACTTTAATTACATTATTGTTTTTAAATATTATACATGTTTTTAATGCTATTATAAATATATAATTTATAATTATATAAATGTGTATAATGTTGGACACTAATAAATGTGTGCATCACGAGTGCTACCATATTACTAATAAACATTATTCAAAATTGTTTATGATGTATTTATTTTTACTTAACTTAAAATTGCTACTTTGTACAGTAGCAAATAAGTTTTACTTCAATCGCGTTTTTTAATTATTTCTTTTTAATATAAAACTATAATTGTTGTTAACTTTTCGAAGAGAAAGTTTATGTTTTCGCAAAAAAAAATGATAATTACTTATATGTTTTCTCCACCAAAGAAGACCAAATTTGGTAAAAGTATGTAATTGTCCAGCCGCTGCTGAATTGTTCTCTAAAATTTACAAGCCATTCAAAGTATCTTGATTAGTACTAGATCAGTTTACTTTGTAATTAGCAAAAAAAATCGTTCACGGTTCTTGAATCGATTTTAAAAATTCAAAAGCTGTTCGAAAGTTATTGGTTGGGAATCGCGTTAATTAGTTTTTGGTATAGATCGGCCGCGCCGTTTCTTCGTAATTAAATGCTGTTTTTTAGTTTGAAATAACAAACTAAAGTACTATAGGCATACGTTAAGCGGTTGAATTTTTAAAATTCTTTAAAGTTTAGAATTTCGCCGCCAAAAATGCCAATCTCGAGTTTTTGAGATAACACAGCGTCCGATTTGAGTGATTCAAAAATTATTTTATTTGAGTTGATGGAAATTAAGAACTGATAATTTTTGGAAATGCAGGCCTAGCGGTTTTGGAGATCTTATGAAAATAAAAGTAAAAGAAATACTATTTGGCGTTCAAAAATGATCATTAGACATATAAACATTAAATTATCAGATATTTTTATATTAAGAACAAATTTTGTTTACATTTTTATGGGTTTCGTACCAATGTTTATCTGTTAGACAGCGACGCGACAGGTCTAATGGTTTCGGAGATCCAACAGAGTCAAAATTACCAGAGATTTTAATAATAACAAATTTTGATTACATTTCTATGGGTTTCGTACCAATATTTATCTCTTAGACAGCGTCGCGGCGCGTCGATATTTCGTCTCAAAAAAGTTAAAAATTTCCAAAATATTTCCAAATATAAAACAAAAGCAAATTTTTTTCAAAAATTTAAATATTTCCAAAAATAGTTTTTCAAATTTTTTTTAAAAATATTCTAACTTTTTTAAAAAATTAAATTTTCGGCACAGGAAGTACCAGCAATTAGTACACCACTTGTTTAAAAAATAAATCAAATTAACAAATTAATAAATTGAATTAAAAATTGCATTTCGAACCATGCACAAATGTATACCGTGTATGCGGACGTTCTTACTTCTCCTCGCAATCCACTATCCGCCGCAATGTGGTTACACTTTGACACTACTAACACATAACCTCATTCGATTTCACTTTCGCGAAATGCACTTGTCACTGGCACATCAAAAATAACTCATGTATGTAAATAATTATTTTGCTCTCGTGTTCTTATCTCTCCGTGATAAGAACCACAAACAGGCGCGTGACCCTTACGGTCTCCATTCCATTTATACAATCATTTTTCTTTAGTGCCAGTTTGAATTTTATTCGAAGGCACGTGACCGTGAGCGCACGAAGCCGATTGGTGCGACGAGGCAATAACGGCTTTCTGCGCTTCTTAAAGTTTTATGGTATAAACAAGAATTAAGACAGAGGTGTCGAACTATGTCGAACTAACTAATTATTACGATATTTTTAACTTCCCGTAGGGCAAGTTATAGTAATCGCAAAATATCGAAAATGAGAATTTTTATATATCTTTACGTTTCAGAGGTTTCTGAACATTTTGGCATACTTTAGAAAAAAATGGATGTATGTGTGTGTGTGTATGTATGTGCGTGTGTGTATGTATGTGCGGATACAAATTTTCGTCGACGATTTCGGGAACACGAATCAACAATTGTAAGGAGACGTGCTGATTAGTTTTTGGCGAAGGCAGGTCTAGCCGTTCCGAAGATACGGGTCAAAAAGTGCCGAAAACGGTAACTCAGTTTTTAAGAGAACGGAGCGTCCGATTTGAATAATTCAAAAAACATTCTATTTGTATTGACTAAATGAACAACTGTTCAAATTTTTGGAAAGAAGGTGCAACGACTTTGGAGATATGGAGGAAAAAGTAAAAAAATGAGCCATTTGGCAGTCAAAAAAGAACATTAGACATATGCTCAACAAATTATCAGATATTTTATAGAGATTTTAGCAATAGGTATCATTTTTTTTTACATTTCCATGGGTAATAAAATTTTTTTTTAAAAAGTAATTTTTTGTCAAATTTATAGTTTCTCAAAAATGTTAATTGTTTTTAAAAAAATAATAATTTTTGCTACGGGAAGTTCCAGCAATTTGCCTTAATTGACTTAAGACAGAATTCCACTTACGGCTAGTTTAATATATTTTTGACAATACAATTACATTGTCGTAATGCTTTTTTCAATTCATAATTTTCTTCCAACGATTTAAAAAATTAAAATATTTCTAAGAGGGCGTCCATTAATTAAGTGAGCAAGTTTTTAAGGATTTTTGGACATCCCCTCCCCCTTGGTAATACGTGGTCATATTCAAAATTACCCCCCCTCCCCCACCAAACATTACGTGTATTTTTAGTTGTTTGAAAAAACTATTTTTTTTAAAAAAAATCTGAAAATGTTTGAATTTAAAAAAAACAATCAGTTAAAAAATAAATACACGTAATATTTCACCATACCCCTTCCTTTCCCACGTGATATTTCGTGATTTTTTGTCAAACCCCCCTCCCCCTAAAAACCTCACGTGATTAATGGACGCCCCCTAATTGTAAGGTTATCATTTGCTATCAATATAGACCCTGAAGGGGTCTCCAATAATCAAGTGATCAATTTTTAAGCATTTTTAAATCCCCTCTCCCCCTTCCTGATACGTCGTGATATTTATATTTAACCCTCCGCCACTGCCCAACATCAGTGTATTTTTAGTGCGTAGAACAAATTGTAAAATTTTTGAAAAATTTGTAGGTCTTTTTTCGAAGTCAAGTAAAAAATTAATACTCTTGATATTTTACTAGAACTCCCTCCGTCACGTGATTTTTCGCGATTTATGTCAAACTCCTCTCACACTTTTAAGCCTTACGTGTATAATAATAAAGCTTCGCACAGCATGGTTTCAAGCAGGAGTGACTTAATTTTAACCCTTTCCACTCGGTTGTCGCCACTCCGGCGGCAATATATATATAAATCTCGCAATTCGCGAGTGGAAAGGGTTAGCTTAAAATATTCCATTACTATTCAGAAATTGTAATAATAAATTTCATCTATAAATTCAAAGTTGCCATCTATAAAAAAAGTCACTTCGTTTAAGAAGTTAGCATAACAGCTCATAGGACTCGTAAGTTTTGATGGCTGATAAAGAAATAAATTTAAAAAAAATGCAAATGAACGCTTTTCGAAATTATTTTATAAGGTTTATACAATAAGTATTTTTTTCATAATTTAGATATTTCTGTCTTCAGTTCATTTGCCCCCCGCATTTGATACTCTATTATTACAGTATAATAAACTATAAAGTAGTCAGCTGTTCGGAATGGAGTTTCTCAAACGCTTGAAATTTCATTTAATAAACATTATATTAAAAACAATTATATATTTTTCAAAATTCATTTTTCATCAAATAAAATTATTTTTTAATCATGCTCGTAAAGTTCACGAAAGTTTAATATTTGTTATTTCTTAAAAAAAATAAGTCTTCTGGTTTTTGCATTCTAATCTAATTCTAGAATTTCTAAAACTAATTTATGACGTTTATTTTTCGTTGGTGTAAATCGATTTGGTAAATATTTCTTTTGATTTAGAATCTTTTCATCATAAAATAATGTTCACGCCTCTCAAAAAGTCAACTGTTATCTCTCCGGGGAGGAAAATCAGATCAACATTACGGACGATTTATCTTTTAAATCTGCTCAACAACTCAGTTTAAAGTGAACTTGATTTGTGGATTATCTATTAATCTATAAATTCAACAATTTCTTTAACAAAGTCTATAAAAAAAATTATTTGCGTTTAATAAATGTTGATTAATTATACATTCTATATTAAAGCCATTAAATGAATATTTAAATTAAATGTGTTCACATTACTTGAAAAGGTACTCTAAAATGATAAAAAAATTATTGCATCATTCTAATAATAAAAACATGCAAATGAGAGATTTTAAATTGCTCTTGAATCTTTACATACAAATGCGCTTTATGACAAATATTTAAATGTATATGCTATATTACTAACATTATATATAATATAAGAATATTTATTATTTATTCTGTATCTACTCAAGATAATATAATAATGCTGGTTTATAAAGTTATCGATTTCTTGAGTCTATCTTTATATCGTCTAACGCAATGTGATACGACTTTATTATCTCATAAATTATATCAAATATTTACACAGAATCTAATGAAATTCTATTATCAAACGACGATGTTATCTAATCAAAACAAAATATATTTTGATGGATTAGATAATGTTTTTTTTAATTTCGCTTTAATAAGATTTATGTAAATAACAGCAAAAAATTGATATGATAATGAAATTGATATTAAAACTACTATTAAATTATATTTTGAAAATGGTCGTTCGTAGTGCAGAGGTAAGAGCCTCGACCATGAGGTTTCGAGTTCAATTTCCGCACTACGTGATATCAAGCATTAGTGATATCCGTTTTCACTTGAAAATATCGACTCAAATATTTTTCCGAGTGAAAATAGCCTTTCTGGGCATTGTTGCTATGTATCAGATCACACTGTACAAGGAGTATGTGAAGTAAAAACTTTAAAGAGAAAGGTCAACTATTGGGCTTCCTTCTAATAAAAAAAAGCTGGAAAGTAAAAACTACTTCAAAACAGCTCAAAGAACACTGAAAATATAGTTTTCTTTTGAACACTGAAAATATAACAATATTTCATATTAATATGGAATAGAATATAAATAGCACTGAAATATTAAGAGTTTCAAAAAGTGTTTTTAGTTGTTGAATATTACAGAACCAACTGATAAAATAATCATATAATCTTCTATCATAAATGAAGAATATATGTTAAATCTTTCAATATTATCATTTATTTATGGAAGATCAAATATTTTAAACTAGTAATTTGAATCAATTGTTTCAGCCATGGGAGACAATGAATTTGTTATGAGTTAATTGAGCTGAATATTTTGGCATCCTCGACACCAGCAAATCATGCATATGGGCACGCATGCAGACACACACAAATATATGTATATATATATTAAAACGTTTGTGAAATTAATATTTAATAAATTAGTGCAAAAAAAGAGTGTTCATATTTCTAAATTTATATATATATATATATATATATATATATATATGTATACATACATAGAAAATCCTGATTAGATTAATATTAATGAAGTCATCGCTTTTATGACTTTATGTGACTATATCCTTCGATGGGAGGAAGCTTTGGCTATTAAATTTTGTCATAAAAGGAGATATGCTTGCTAAGTATTCCCACGAACAATTTTTGTCACATTAAATTGTGTATATAAAAAAATCAAGCTCATACACAAAGCTAATATACATTATATATATATATATATATATATATATATATATATATATATATTATATATATATATATATATATATATATGCGTAAGTGCTTGCGTGTGTGTTTCCAGGTATATGCATGTTAAAATTCGGCTGTTGAATAACTTCTTGTTTTAATTCAATATGGGTTAAGAGAAAACAGTTATTCAACGGTCCAAACGGGTCATAAACACATAAATTTGATAACTTTTTCCTATCTCTCATATGTCGTTATTCCCCGGTTTGTATAAATTTTGTCTTTTTATTGGACTTCATCAACATGATGCAGTCTCGGCATCAAAATTTTGAAAATTTGTTCTCACTGCTTCGAATTATCACAATACGTATTATCTAATTTCTATCAAGTTTTTATCAATTAAAACTTAATGCCTATAATTAATTAGAAATTTTCAAATATAAACCTTAATATGATAACTCCTTGGTGGAATTAGTAGAATTAGTGTGAAAATTGGATTAATTATATTCTCTGAAAAAATAAATTTATAATAAACAAATTATGTTGGTATTGCGTTTCGATTGCCAGTGTGAAACTCTGAGCCGTAATTTTATGATCCTTTAGCGTAATTCGGCTTTTAAATAAAATAACGGTAGCAGAGCTTTAGAGCTAATTGATTGAGCTAATAGTATCCATCTTGTAATGTTCTAAAAGATAAGTAAATATTCTGAAGCTGCTAACATTATTAATAAACTCTTACAAAACCTGTAAGTCGGTTACAATTATCAAACTAGTTGTATTCTAAGCGTCGAAAGTAATAAAATTATTGAAATCGGGCGAACTCGCGCATCATGAAAACGTAGTTTCATACTATATGCCATATATACATATAATATTTTTTATGGTATCATAAAAATATTATGACTGACTTTATGCACCAAGAGACTGATATATATCAATACTTTGTGCTTTATCAAATCTGTTACACATCGAAAACAACGTAGGGTGCAATCAATACTATCATCATTCACAATTGCATAAATTCTTCCCTGAGATTTATATGTCTTACTTCCTGACACTTGACCGTTAAAAAGCTATTTCTAATTTATTACTTTTAAACAAGTAAACAGTAACGTAGATAAAATGCATCTTTCGCATTTTATGCTGCGATCCCTTTTTTTTAAGTACAGCCACAACTCATGCAGAGCCTTGTTTTTTATGTTTCATGATTTTAAACTTTTGATGTAACCTTTTTATAAAAATACACCAACGATTTTCAAAATGTTTATCTAATACTTTGAACAGTAATTTCACTTTCATTATAGATATATTTGTATAGATAATATTTCATTGAGAATTCATTCATTGCAGCACAAAATCGTCATTTTCACTTGAGAATATATTAGTGGTCTATAATCTCCAGTGGAAAATTGATACCATACTATTTGATATCGAGGTGGCCGAGGTTGGGATCGAACTCGGAACTAGTTAATGCTAGTCCACGTTTTTACATGCACCACGACAGGATTTTATAAACATACATACATGTCCAGTTTTAGTGAATTATTATTTCCGCCGTTAATTCAAATGTGCGAAACATATCATTGTTAATATAATGAAAAAATGTTGTCGCATTGTTCTTATTACCTTATCATATTTCTAAATTTTCACATATCAACCGAGCAATATAATCATAAAAGCATAGTTATAAAACCATTGTTTCCATATAGACGGCAACACAACGGTGATACGAAAACAAAAGTTGTTTGTTTATTTTCGTCGGATCCGCGTATTGTTTTGTTCATTAATGAACCTTGGCCTCCGATGTAATTTATAACACGGTTCCTCGAAATAGAATTTACACATATTAAGCTCATGTGGCAAAATTTCAATTGCATGTGATACACATCTGAAGAAAATATACAATTAACTAGTGGTGAATGGCATCGTGCATTAAGGCAATTTGCAGAAACTTCCTGTACCCTAATTTAAAATTTTTAAATGCTCAGAAAAGAAAAATTTTTTTTTTAGAATCTTGAACATTTTTGAAAATTTTTCAAACATTTGAAAAAAAAATCCTTTTTGAAAATGCTGATATTTTGTGAAAACTTTATATAAAATACTGTAGTTTATTCTTTCAAATTAACTGAATGATTACTTAATAAGTGAGAGACTTATCCTTAACCTTTATTTTATATTTTATTTCGCAGCACATCTTTATTCAAACAATGATCTCAAATAATCGTTTGAAGAATGCTATTTCATTTTGCGCAGTCTTAATTGTTCAATCCATAAATTGATTGCGTCAAATTTATTCAGAAATTTTATATCGCCATGTGTTTATTACACATCGCAGATGCATGCTTCATGACATTGTTTATTATATATAACCAGATTTTGTACTCATGTTGCGTATTTCGATTAATTTGTTGAAAGATAGTACGCAAAATTGATTGCGAATTCAAAGAGAGAATTGGTTCCAATAAAGTTTGGAAACTTTAGAGTCAAGTTGTCATATATATAATCAAAATCTCATTATAATATTCGAAAAATGTATATGATTTAACAATATCAATTAATAATGCCTGTGAGCAAATTCTAAAATGTACTCAGATATCACATATCTGATCTGATATGATATTTCACGAACTATGATTTGTATTTTTGCTTGAAGCTATAAATTTTAGAGTTTTGTCATCTATAAAACCACATTAAAAAGCATCACAAGCTTATAGGATTGCTGTAAACACTATAAAAAATCAAATATTTGATGTAAATCGGAATTGTGTAAATGTAGGCTTGCAGATGCTGTGAAACCGGTTGTTATTAGCTTATTTACATTGCGAGCAAATGCATATTCCTAGAGTATTTGCATTTATGCAACTAAATTAAAATCACATTGTAGAAATATTCATTTTAATAATAATTTCACGTTAAATTTTGATTACTGACTTAGTTACTTTTTTCAATGTAAAAGATAATTCATGCAAATTACAATATATGCAATTTTCAACAAACAAATCAAAACATATTAGACATGCAAATTAATTTTAATAATTCCAATTTTAGTCGATTATAAATTATTATGCCTAAAGTATATATCACGCGTAAATACATATTGTATGCTCGCAATATGAGGCTAAGAAATACAAGTGATCTGATACTCCTTTTGCTTATAAATAGTTTTAATAAAGCCTTCTAATTATAATCTAAACGCTACAGGAACGGGAACATAAACAAATTTATAAATACTTAAATATTTTTAGAACCACTTTGTCAATTAAGAAGCGCGAGGTATATAATAAAACAAAACTAAAACTTTGGACATATCTTAAATATTTTTTTAAGAATAATTTTAATAATTTCTTTTTGATTGTATTCTAAAAATGTGATAAAATTAGGGCAAAAGATGAGTAATCTGATTTTATTATTCGAGCGCGTAAGTTCTATCGAAAAAAATTCTAGGATTATCCGGTATTATATTTCACATTTCTTGAACAAAGATTTTTTAAATAAAATGAGTATAAAAGTGTAATAAAGATAACTTTGCATGTGTTAAATATATAAATATTAGGTGCGCATCTAAGTCCTCGCTGTTTGTCAGTATATGGCTCTAGCAGTAAGGGTTGGTCGATTTTGACAAATCCAAAACGTCATGAACCAAGCTTAGACATATGACAAACAAACTTATGCTACACACATAAGTGATTTAGTTTTTGCAATATATACTTCTGATCAAGTGAAAATGTCTAATGTTATGCCAAACAATCGTCATTTGCGGGAAGTGTTGATTTTTTTCTTTCATTCGAAAAAAACGGCAGCTCAAGTGCATCAAGAGCTACGAAAATGTTACTCCGAGTGAAACAACATGCCGTGATGCGTTTTGTCGCTTCAAAAACGGTGATTTTGATGTTGACGACCGCCCTCGTGAAGGAGGGTCCAAAATCTACAAAGACGCTAAATTGAAGGCCTTTCTCGAAGAGAATTCGTGCCAAATTCAAGAAGAGCTTGCTTCAGAATTAGGAATTACCCGCCAAGCCATTTCCAAGTGATTGCATGCGTTGGGGATTATTCAGCAGCAAGAAACTTGGGTTCCTTGTGAGTTGAAGCCATGAGACGTCGAGCGTCGTTTTTTCGCCTGTGAACCACTGCTCCAGTGGCGAGAAAGGAAAGGTTTCTTCATCGCATCGTGACAGGTGATAAAAATGAATACATTACAGCAATCCAAGGGAAAAAAATCTCGGTTCGGCCGAATATTCACTACGAAGGTTTACTTTGAATATTGTGGTACCAGGTCAGTGTTATTCATTATGAGCTGTTGAAACCGAGCGAAATCATCACTGGAGAACTGTATCGAAATCAATTGATGCAATTTAGCCGAACACTGCGCGAAAAACGGCCAGAATACGAGCAGAGTGATTTTACTGCATGCCAACGCTCAGCATCACGTTTTCAAGCCTGTTAAAACCTACTTGGGAACGGTCAAATGGCAATCCTACCCCACCCGCTATATTCCCCAGATATTGTATTGTCCGATTTTTACTTGTTCCGTTCGATGGCACATGGCCTGGCTGAGCAGCAGTTCAACTTATACGAAGACATCAGAAAATGACTTGATTCGTGGATAGCCTCAAAAGACTACCACTTCTGACGTCAAGGTATTCGAGCTCTGCCAGAAAGATGGGCAAAAGATGTGTCTAGCGATGGGAAATAGTTTGAATGAATCAGATGTAATAGTTTTTTTTATAATAAAGTTACATTTTCATCGAAAAACAGCGAGAACTTAGTTGCGCACCTAATATTATTTTGCTAAAAGCAAGTAATCAAAAGCAAATTTAATTTTTTTGCCAAAAACTGCTCAGAGGATGAAAATATCTTGCAAAAAAACATATTGCGTTAGATTGCACTTAGTTGTTAGTTATGGCAAAAAAAATCTTATAATTCATGTAATGTATATTACTTCTTGAAATAATTAAATATTATAAAGCCATGATATGTAGAGCATGTTTTTTTGAATTCTTGGAACGTAACCCCTCATTTTGTACTAATCTTTGCCCGGATATAGCACGAATTGGCACAACACGCTACTTTTTTGGAACGTAACTACCATGTTATATGGGGGTTACCTGCATGTGAAGGAATTTTCATCGCAAGAAGAATCTCAACACATTAACCAAATTTAAATGCAAACATTATATTCAATTATATTGTTATGCTTCAAACAATTTGCCACATTATTAAGTGTTTAAGCTTTGATTGTTAAACTTTTACTGTAATGACTCAAATCATGTATCCGAAATATATAAAATACCATTTTAAAATTAATTTAATCAAAAATAATTTATTGTACAATTATAGAGTAAATTGTTGTACAAAATCAATTATTTTTCTGTTGTTCATAAAATTGTTGAACAAATCTATGGGCTTTATCGTAATGTGGGTTAAGATCATTGCGCACCCTTTCCATCCATTGTTTGAATATGGGATGCATTTCGGATGGATCAAGCCCTGCTATTTCTACAATAAAAAATCATCGTAGTAGTAATAGCATCCGAATAACATGACATGAACGCATTTATTGAAATATGAAAATTATTTAAATTTCGTTTAATTATTAGTTTGATAATAATTTTTCAAAAACTTACTCGGTTGTTCGGCCTCGCATGCACCTAATACATCAGCAATTGATATTTGGTCTCCAGCCATGTATGTCCTGTCTTTCAGCCAAAGATTTTCAAACGATTCCAAAGCGTCGTGCATCCTTTGCTCACTTTTTTTAATTTCTTCGGGACTTGCAAATTTACCTGTTTTTAGCGGCGTCAAAAACTGTTAATAATAAAATTTTTACAAATAATTAAGCAACCCAAAAAAATTAATTTACAATACTTATTATAATAATAGAGCAAGAAAAGCATAAATATTATTTTACTGAACAGACTTAAGTGGTCCTCAATTAAACTTCTATACTTATATAATAATATTGTTATTTTCTACAAGTATGCTTACTCAAAAATAAGAAATATATTGTATTTATGTTAACTTCCACAATATGAAACACATATGTATATTATAAATATACATACAAATATAAATATAAACATAGTAAAAAGTCATTTAACTATACCTTTGTTATAAAATACATCCCGCAAGGTAATCTTAATCCGATATGCTGCCATTCCAAAAATTCATCTACCAAAGCTTGTTTTTGTGCCTCTTGAGGATACCAGTGTTCTTCTATTGGATATGCTTTTGATAAATAACGTAATATTGCAACACTGTATAATATATCAAACTATCAAAAACAATATTTGTTACATTGAATAATATATAGTATATTTAGTAAAAATTATAGACTGCTCAATGTTGCTTTCTGTAGAAAATTTATAAATGCAATTTAATAAATTAAATCATAGTTTACAAAGCAATCTACACAAAAGCATTCTATATTATTATTGCAACTAGATCCTTATTCAAATTTCAAAAAATTTGAAAAACACTTAAATTTATAAACTTCTTTTTGTCATGAATTATAAGTTGAATCAGTAAAATGTTTTTGTTTCAAATTTTCTTCAAAATTCAGTTTCTATGTTTATTTTATTTTTCTTTATTGACAATATTTTCATATCTCAGTCAGGCAGGGGTGTATTAATTACTTTCTTAAATTTAATTATAAAACATAAGTTATTTTCCATATTAATTCTCACCTCTCAGCAAGTTTGAAGCCCTTATCATCAATGCATGGTAGTTTTTGAAACCGATTTATTTTTGCAAATTCAGGTGCTAAATTCTTACCTAAAAACATATATAATGTATTTCACAAATTAAATTTTTAATAAAATTATAAATATAGTTATTTAAATTCTTAAATGTAACTCACCTTCGCCCAGTGATACTATGCAAGGTTCAAATTGAATTTTTGCTGCTTTCAAGAATATAAAGAGCGCTCTTGAAGGTGGAGACATTAAATCAAAATATAATTTCAGAGACATATTGGTACAAAACAATATTTAGACTTCTTTTAAATATCTGTAGATTATTAAAAAAAATTATAAAGAAGAGTAAAACTTATTGCTACATAAATACAAAATACAGTAGAACCTTGATTATCCGGACCTCAGTTATAGGGATTCGCATACAATTAGATATTTTGCACGATTTATGCTGGAGTTTAGTATACGAGTGTGTATGTAATATAATCCAAAAAAATGTATGTGTACTTATATAAGGAAATGTTAATTTCTTATTAAACATTGATTTTTGTTGATATCTATGTATGTATTTGTAATTTTTGATAAATACACATCATTATTCTTCATACATTGGATTATCAGTATGCCTATCGACAAGGATTAGTTCGGGTAATCGAGGTTTTACTGTAAGTAAATATTCTTATAATAAATTTTAGATTAAATAAATATTAAAATATATTTTAGGAAAATAATTCAATAATGGTAAAAGACATTTAAAACGCATATCTTAATTATCATAGATATATAATTACACATTTGTCAAATAATTAAACTTATATCTAATATATTTAAAAGAAATATTACTTTTTATTAAGGACTTCTAAACAGAAAACAGTAACCATAAAACACAGTAACTGACAATAACAGTCAAAACACATTAACAATTTAAATCAAATACACTCGACGTTAAATTTCCAAAAATAAACCTCTAAATAAGTTAATCATTAAAATATTGAGTATATTAGTTATTTTAAAATACCTGAATATTTTTTTGGATAATTATACTGTGAGTGGTTGTTCTACAAATAATACATTTGACATTTATTTTAGGTTAAATTTGTTGTCAACAAAAGCAATTGCAATTCCAGGGTTTTCAAAACTTTTCTATTGGGTAGGTAACCCAAGACAATATGATAATATGAGTATATAATATATTCGTAATATACTCTTATTATATCTATGTATACTCTGTTATCATAATGGTAACTGGCTTACATAATATTAGAAATACATGATATTTGATTTTCTTCGCTGATAACAATATCTTATCTCATATTTTTTATATAGATTAAAATATTTATGTCAAAAACAAGAAGATAATAGAGCATCAAAAAATCAAGATGTGTTTCTATATGGTCTGTATACGTGGACCAGTATGCAGAATACAGAAATACATAAAGAAATAATTATTTTACATTTAATTGAAGCAATCCAACATGCTTTACAGTTTAAATTATTTAATCATAGTACAATATTTTAAGTTAAAAAACACAATTGTGATAATCAAACAAAAACATCTAAACATCACAATGAAAATATAGTATATAGAAAGAATTATTATCCTATTTCATTTTAATTTAAAATGAAATGATTATCACACCTGTGTTTTTTAACTTAGTACAATATTACTAAGACTAAATACTTCAAACTGTAAAGTATGCTGGACTGCATCAATAAAATGTAAAATTTATTTATTTATGCATTTCTGTATTCTTTAAATGTATCGCATTATCAAAATACTAAACCGATGCATGAGAATCTGACTAGAATTTATTTAATTTTATTTGTAATCCAATTAGAATCAAAAAGTTGTCACAAATGATAACATTTCCATTCATTATCAAATATATATTTTTCGAATAATATAACAAAGTAGTTAACCTATTATTGTTTCTGATCATTAAATAATTTGTATACAAATTTATGTGCTTCATCATAGTGAGGGTTCAGATCTTTACGAACCCTTTCCAACCATACCTTGAAAAGAGGTCTTCCCTCAGCAGGATCAAATCCAGCTATTTCTGTAATAAAATATTTTACAGCATAATAATCAATTTTTTTTAACAATTAAAAAAACAATTTGGATATACAAGAATGATTTGCTTACTAGGTTGTTCAACTTCACAAGCACCAACAATGTCTGCTATTGATATTTTTTCACCAGCCATATAGGGCCTGTCCTTCAGCCAATGTTTCTCAAATAAATCTAAGGCTTGATCCATTTGCATTTTACTTTCATTAATTTTCTCAACTGGAGTTTCTTTACCAGTTTTGAAAGGTAATAACCACTAACAACAATATTCAAATTAATTGTATCACATAGGAACAAACTTTTGAGTAAAGTTGAATTCTTCTCAAATTATAAATTAATATATAATAGAATTATTGTTTCTATAGATATCAAATCTTCACCTTATTCACAAAATACATTCCACATGGCATTCGTAATGCAGTATGTTGCCATTCTAAAAATTCATCAACAGATGCCTGACTCTTTGAATCTTTTGGGTACCAATGGTCTTCCTTAGGATATGTTCGTGCCAAATAACGGAAAATTGCCACACTACAAAGTAATATAAAATATTATAATTTACAATGACTAAAATTTAACATATTTTATAATCTCTAAATTTAATTATAATGTCTATTAAAAAAAAAAAACAAGAAAATTTTTAAACTATTGATCTGAACAATGAATATTTAGGAGCCAGATAATACTATCTAGACATTATTATTAGTACTATTAGTACAAACCCTAATTCGGCAATATTGACAATGAAATAGTTGAATTATTTGCTTAGTGCTTTATTATAGTTAATCTCATAAATCAAAATGTGAATGCTACAGCAATTTTAAAAAATACTAAAGGATAAGTAAGTAATCTAAAGTTACTGAATGAAATGTTTGTACAGTATTAATTTCCAAAAAAAAAATCAAAGACATTCAGTTTTTTCAACTGTAAATTAATTTACAGTTGACAATAATTTACAATATGAAGGCACATAATTATGTGCCTTCATAAAACCCAAAGCAATTCAATAATCAAATATTTCTTGAACAATTAAAAATCAGTTATATTATAATCAAATTATAATAAAAATTTATCAGATGCGACAATAACAAGTTCCATGTTAACTACTAAATACATTTCAGGTAAAATTAGTACCTATAGTTATATGCACATAATTATAAAATATTATACCTTTCAGCCAATTTAAAACCATTGTCATCAATACATGGAACTTTCTGAAATCGGTTTATTTTTGCGTATTCTGGTTTCAACTGTGCATCTATAAAATATTTGAACAATAGCAATTAAATATGAATTAAATTTAAAATAATTTAATTCTATTTTACTTTTTGCCAAAGGCACCATGCACGGCTCAAAAGGTACTTTTGCTGCTTTCAAATAAATATATAAGGCTCTTGATGGTTGAGATAATAAATCAAAATAGAGTTTTAAAGACATTTTAGTTATATACAAGAATAATAAGCACGTAAAAACACCAAATTGTTTTAAAGTTTGTATATAAATATATTGTATTCTAATATTGTTTTTACAATGAATACGACTTCAATCACAAATTTGACTTGTCTGAATTGATGACCAAAGTCCACGGAACATGAACTAACAAAAAAAAGGAATTATTTATAGAATCATAAAATTTGATGTCAAAGAAGCCCACAAATCTTGAATTTAATGAATTTATACGAATGTGAAGGAATGAAAAAGAAGTTGATAAAGCAAATAAATAAACTTAACACTTTTAAACGAAACAAAATTTGATACTGATTTGACGTATAATTTATAATTGGTGTGTATCACCATATTATTATCTTGTCTAAGGTGCATATCATGGGCAGTTATCTCCAAACAAATGAAGAAGTCGCTACTATTTTCAATTTGATTAATAGAAAGAAACAGATGGCTACACTGTGCTCAATTTCGTTGTGGCTATATATCTGTTGGTTTCAATATAAGAAAATATTCATGATTTTATATAAATAATTATTATTGTAATTTTTCATTTTGTTATGTTACTTTTGTATTCCTAGGATAAATTGATATCAATGTCTTTGTACATATTAATTTTATGAAAATCTAAACATTGGTATTAAAACATATGTAATTTATTTGAGTCTTCGAATCATATAAGAATAGTTATTATGATAGTTAATAGTAATTGTTGTTATGAATTTTATAAAACAATTTTACTCGAAGAATTTTATATTTTCAAGCATTTCGAACAAATTTGTTGGCCTCTCACATGTCTAAATGATCACATTTTTGACCGCCAAATGGCTTTTTTAAACTTCTTTTACTCGATCTTTGAAACCGCTACACTGCCTTCCCAAAAATTTAATCAGTTTTTCATTTTGTCATCCATTTTTTCTGAAGTCTGCCAAAACGTTCAGAAACCTCTGAAACGTAAAGATATATAAAATTTTTCATTTTAGATATTTTTGTGATTACTATAATTTACCCTATGGGAAATTAAAATAAGTGTTAATTTGAGAATTCGAACTGCATTCATTCATTTTCATATAACACTATGGTCCTAGTGGCTTTTATGTTTGACGCCATCGATATGTATGAATTCTACTTAAAATATTTAAAAAATAATTGTAAATTATGCCAAAATATCTAAAAATATCTATAGAAGTTGTTGTAAAAAAATATAGATAATTCTGAGCCAAGTCATTCTGAATCAAATGAGACCAAATTTTGAAAAAGTTTGAAAAAACTTTCGTCGATATTTTCTCAAAAATATCGACGGCTGTTGTATTTATTTATAAAGTATTTAATTTTTTTAAATTCATATTATAATGATTAAAATTATATTAAGCTTTGTAGATTATAGTAAGTGCGATTAAAAAGGTTACTCACCCTTGCTCTACAGCATGGGTGTCAAACTAGCGGCCCGCGGGCCGCATGCGGCCCGCAGCAGATATTTTTGCGGCCCGACTGCCCGCATATGTTGACAAATGATAATATGCAATAAATAACAATTCGATGAGGAAAAAAATGAAATATTCAACTGCTAAGTAATTAACAATTACTTTAAATAAATTAACAATAATTACATTTAATTAAATCAACAAGAAATTATTGTTTAACAAATAGTTTATACCGCATAAAGTTAGCCAAACCCTCGCACTTCTCGAGTGTTAGTCCCAGCCTTTATTAATTATGATAAATTTTATAAATTTATGCTAAACTTTAATTTTTTTTTTATTGATATAAATTTTAAGGAAATTTTGATCCAGGTTGATTCATGTTGTTCAAATAATAACCACTGCAAAGCAGCAAAATATTTTTGATGGCAAAACAACGTTTGCCGGGTCAGCTAGTATATCTTATATATAAAAATGGAGCTCTCTCTCAAATGTCTAAGTAAAAATCGAAAACGTCTAAACCGATTTGGCCAGTCTTAGTCTTGAAAAATTCGTGCCAATCCAGAGAAAGTCCAAAAGGTGAGATATTATTCCAAAATCGCGTAGAAACTTTACATTTTTAATTTGAAAATTTTTGTAGAAGCGTAATTCGAATAAAAAAATAGACGGTGGCTATTACGTGAAATGTCAAACGTTCTTGAGATATGGTGTTCAATTACTTTTAATAGGAAGTTTTACGTGAATATTTACGACAATATAAGTCGAAAGACCAAAAAAAACTTGGATTGGATTATACCATGTTTTCTATAGAAAGTATATAAAACTTCCAGTTTGATTGTATTGACAAAATATCGGTAATCTTTGAAAATCCATAATAAAAGTATTTTCTTCCGTTGGTAGTTATTTAGCATTAGTTAAAAATGTAATTATTTTGTAAAATACCTTTAAATTAAAATAAGGTTTTAAACGTGTCTGCCACCTGGCCGTTCCAAGTTGGCTAAAAAGGTGTAGATAACGAATTTTTGAAAGACATCAAAAAAATACATTTCTACAATGACTGGCAATTTTACTGAACGTAGTCAGATAATTGTTCGTTAATTAATCGAATGTTACTTGAAACTTCGTAACTTAAACATTTCAAGAAAAAAAAAATTAAAATAAAATTATAACATTTTTTTTCCAAAAGCAATTATTTTGTTAAAACAAGCAGAGAGTTCTTTGAATCATTCAAATCGGACGCTTAGTTCTCTCAAAAACTGCCATTTTTTGTACATTTAGCTCTATTGGAATATCGGAGTATCGGAGTATCGGAATGTCGGAGTATCGGAATGTCGGAGTATCGGAGTATCGGAATGTCGGAGTATCGAAATGTCGGAGTATCGGAATGTCAGAGTATCGGAATGTCGGAGTATCAGAATGTCGGAGTATCGGAATGTCGGAGTATCGGAATGTCGGAGTATCGGAATGTCGGAGTATCGGAATGTCGAAATATCTGAATGTCGAAATATCGGAATATCGGAATATCTGAATATCTAAATATCTGAATATCTGAATATCTGAATATCTGAATATCGGAATATCGGAATGTCGGAATATCTGAATATCTGAATATCTGAATATCTGAATATCTGAATATCGGAATGTCGAAATATCGGAATATCGGAATATCGGAATATCTGAATGTCTGAATGTCGAAATATCTGAATATCTGAATATCTGAATATCTAAATATCTGAATATCTGAATATCTGAATCTCGGAATATCTGAATCTCGGAATATCTGAATATCTGAATATCTGAATATCTGAATATCTGAATATCTGAATGTCGGAATGTCGGAATGTCGGAATATCGGAATATCGGAATATCGGAATATTGGAATATCTGAATATCTGAATCTCGGAATATCTGAATCTCGGAATATCGGAATATCTCTAGAAATTGATTAGAATATACATTACTTAGCAAAACAACGTTTGTCGGGTCAGCTAGAATATATATATATATATATATATATATATATATATATATATATATATATATATATATAAAGCGAGAGATTTTGCTTCAGATGATGGAATAATATGATAAAATTGTTCTTGGGCATCAATCCAGTAATTAAAAACAGTTTTATTGAAAAAAAATGTTTTTATTCAGAAAACATACGTTTCGGGTCTTGATTTGACCTTGATGGGATGGATCTATATATATATATATATATATATATATATATATATATATATATGTGTGTGTATGTGTGTATATGTATACATATGTATGCATACACAACACACATATAGTTTTTTTTGCGGCCCGCTTGAAGTTAGACCTTGCTTATGCGGCCCGATTGCACCTTTGAGTTTGACATCCTTGCTCTACAGCATTTCGGTATACTTGTAAGTGTGCGTCCATAAATCACGTGATCGATTGTTTATGGATTTTTGGACCCCTCTTCGTGATACATCGCGATTTTTAAAATTACCCTCCTCCCTCACCAAATATCACAGTTACGTAAAATTTTTTGAACAAATTTTTCGAATTTACGAAAAAATCAGTTTTTTTAATTAGTTAAAAAATAAATATACGTACCCCTCCCTTATCCACGTGATTTTTTGTCAAACCTCCCCTCCCCTTGAAAACCCCACGTGATTAATGAACGCTCCCTAAATTATTATATTAATTTCTTATTAATGAAGACTATTGTTTACACATGTGCGGAAATTCATGCAAATTGCCATACGGCAAAATGCCACTTAAAACTAGTTTATGGCTTATTCCTACGAATTGGCACCGCATTCCATAAAAATGTCAAATGTATCACTTAGTGTTTGAACGGATTTTGTAGTTTGGATATTCATTTTAATAACTATTCTTCAATACTTCCTGATCGTTTTGCACGCATCCGGTAAAAGTATATGAATATACAATTAATACTGACTATATGTTACAAATGATAAAACTTAACAATTGTAACACAAATCTATTTTATTTTATTTAATGCGCGATTTTATGATTTTAAGATGTATAAATATAGTATGAATAATGACTGTAATAAAGAAGTAATAAGTAAAGACAAAAAAGGCTGAAAGCTAGTGAACCTTTTGAATGTAGAGTTAAAAAAATTGTACTGGTGATTATTAGAGTACTAATTGCAAGTACGAAATCAACGGTCTGGCAAGCGAGTTCTGCACATCATGGCCACCAAGGCGTCTTCAAATATTTATAGGATTTAATATATTTATTGAGAAGTTCAAAAATTAATGGGCCGATTCTGCCGCACAACAGACCAATGTTATGGCAAGGCCATGTTACGCTCCAACTTGCATACATTATGCTACTGAATCATACTGAATACTGTCAAAATGTCATTTATATGCTGTACATTCAGGCGTTTTACACATAAACTGCAACGTCACTCGTATGTTATAAAGCTGGGTCAGAAATACCATGTTATCTAAGATCGTTTTTTTGACATTTTTGCGGTTTCTAGGTTAGGTTTTCTATCTGACAACCTAAGAAAAACGTCTGTCTGCACAGCAACCACATGGCTTTTATCAATATTTAGAACGAATTAGTAAGAAAAGTTCTTCATAACATCACATTGTCATAACATGCTGCAGAATCGGTAAATAAATTTCCAGACCATTTCAACCTGCACAAGTACCTGCCAGAGAGCCAAAGTATCACATTTATGAGCAAGATGTATATGCATTAAAATACATTTTGTCC